ATGCTGCTAAAATGTATAGTAGTATCACATGCAGCTAACATGTATAGTAGTATCACCTGCTGCTAACATGTACAGCAGTATCACATGCAGCTAACATGTACAGTAGTATCACATGCTGCTAACATGTACAGTAGTATCACATGCAGCTAACATGTACAGTTGTATCACATGCTGCTAACATGTATAGTAGTATCACATGCAGCTAACATGTACAGTAGTATCACATGCAGCTAACATGTACAGTTGTATCACATGCTGCTAACATGTACATTTGTATCACATGCTGCTAAAATGTATAGTAGTATCACATGCAGCTAACATGTACAGTAGTATCACATGCTGCTAACATGTACAGTAGTATCACATGCAGCTAACATGTACAGTTGTATCACATGCTGCTAAAATGTATAGTAGTATCACATGCAGCTAACATGTATAGTAGTATCACATGCAGCTAACATGTACAGTTGTATCACATGCAGCTAACATGTATAGTAGTATCACATGCAGCTAACATGTACAGTTGTATCACATGCTGCTAACATGTATAGTAGTATCACATGCAGCTAACATGTACAGTTGTATCACATGCTGCTAACATGTATAGTAGTATCACATGCAGCTAACATGTACAGTAGTATCACATGCTGCTAACATGTACAGTAGTATCACATGCTGCTAACATGTACAGTAGTATCACATACTGCTAACATGGACAGTAGTAGCACATGCAGCTAACATTTACAGTAGTATCACATGCTGCTAACATGTACAGTAGTATCACCTGCTGCTAACATGTACAGTAGTATCACATGCTGCTAACATGTACAGTAGTATCACATGCAGCTAACATGTATAGTAGTATCACATGCTGCTAACATGTACAGTAGAATCACATGATTCTAACATGTACAGTAGTATCACATGCTGCTAACATGTATAGTAGTATCACATGCTGCTAACATGTACAGTAGTATCACATGCTGCTAACATGTACAGTAGTAGTATCACCTGCTGCTAACATGTACAGTAGTATCACATGCTGCTAACATGTACAGTAGTATCACCTGCTGCTAACATGTACAGTAGTATCACATGCTGCTAACATGTACAGTAGTATCACCTGCTGCTAACATGTACAGTAGTATCATCAATGACCAATGTCCATAGATGTTGGTGAATGTGGAGTGTCGTGGAACATCACCACTGTCCTGCATCTGCATGGAAAACTTTAAAACCCCATGAGAAAAGGTGAGAAACCTCAGGGAGGCCCACATTCCTACACAAGGTAACACAAAGTGCTTCACAGGCCAGATCACATACATCCCAGAAGGCATTAAAAAAACAAAGATTAAAGTCCCATGGGATATTGAAAAAATAGTTGTGTCACAAGCTGCTAACATGTACAGTGCTATCACATGCTGCTAACATGTACAGTGCTATCACATGAAGCTAACTTGTACAGCAGTATCTGTGAAGATTATAACCTATATATAATGACTAGAGTGTTTTACAGATACATCTGTTCAATCTTATACATGCATATATGTATTTCTCTGCTCTAGAGTATACAGGTTTTTTGTGAGCTACAAATGATCAGTTTGTATTTTATTTTCCATTTTTCACAAGTTGTGCTATTCACTTATCTTGTGTTGTGTGCTCCTCATTCCAGCTGTTGTGTGTCCTGTGATGCAACACTGAAATGTCCCTGCTGTGGGACGAGTAAAGGATCTTTTAATCTTAATCCTAGGCACAAAAAAGAGTTTAACTTTAACCAATACCCCTTCAATCTGTAAAAAATGTGTACTTTTTGTTTTTATTGACCACTGATCAAAGGAAAACAAATCTATATAAACAGCACTTCTGAAGTCACCTTTGAATGTCTGTCCTGCATGTTGTTTAATTGTCATTGGTCTAATCTCTGTGTATGTTCCAGCTCACACAGTTTTGTCTCCTCTCTGTGGCATTTCCTGCTCTAATTGCTCATTTGTTTATTTCTTTTCACAAATTCCTGTTTCGAACTGCACAGCTGACAAACCAACAGGCTCTCAGAGAATTCCCGACAAAGAAATAACACAAATACCAAGATGTTTTTCCAGACCTGTTTTTTTTTTTTTTTAATGTATTTTTATTTATTTTAGAACAGAAAACAAACACACACGCACACACACACACCCCGGCCGGGCGACCACTGCTCCTGACAGAAGCCCTAGTGACATTGGAAGGATGGGTCGAAGGACAATTTTCCCAATGTGGAAATACAGTCTAACTTAAATTATGAGGAGCAAAAGACTATTCTATTAGAACATCAGTTACATTCAGACTGAAACTAACTCATTATCTTGTGTCAGCCTGATCAGAAAAAAACATCAATCATGAAGCCAGCTCCATCTAAAAACAATAATAATGCATTAGTTTTATAAAGTACTATCCAGGACACTCAAAGACACAGTTTTGCACTTTATAGCCGCAGCCACCCCACTGTGGCACCTGGTGTTCCCAAAGGTCTCCCATCACAGTACTAACCAGGCCCTGCCCTGCAATGCTTCAAAGATCTGACTGAATATGGCTTTTGCATGCATACATGGTCACAAATCACTGAACATGTCTGTGGTGAAGACAGTTAGATGGTTTCATTGGGTTGCAAGGAGGTCAGTAAAAGCCGGTCACTCATGAGATTTACAAATCTTTGGAAAGCCAAACACATGTGGCCTTGAAGCTAAAATATTAGTATGAAAGGAAAGGTATATGATTGTTTCTTCTTAAAACAAAGGGAGCAGGCTGATATTCTATTCTACTCTATTTAAACCAGTCATGACAACAATGATTCCTTAGTTACTAAACAGCTGCTTCTATATATTAGCCATGACATCAAACAATAACTGGGTCACAACATTTGGATTAACGTCAAGTCTATGATAAATCCCAAATGTTTTTTCAATGCATGTGATGATTCATTGTACTCCATGATTTACTGTTTATCACTTTATCGATCGCCTGAAGCAGTTTGCCTCTGAACAAACCCATTCTGTGCGGCTCAAATATGTTTTTATCTGAATCTGTACCAGGACTCCTTTAACAAAACTCCAGATCCAAGTCAGATTTACGCAGACCACAACAAACAGGAGTAATGAGAAACATCCGCGGCCTGAGAAAACAACTTTTTCCATGAGTGCTACCCAGTTCATAGATGACTGCAGATGAATCCTTTATTAAAGCGGATTTACCTAATAAAACCACAGGAATGTATCTAGTTAAACCCATTTGACTAGTTCCTTGCTTTCAAAACAATTTGGTTCTATCACTAGTTTTCAAATGGATTAGCCTGCATATTTAGCCTTTGTCACTTCTTCAAAAAAGGTAACACTGAGAATAAAACTTCCAGGTTCTACTCTGGCTCCTAAAGATCCCGTCTAAAGTCTTCCTAGACTAGAGTCAATGTATTTTGTTCCTGGTCTTTGTTAAAAAAAATCTAAATGTAAATACAGAGGACCGCCCTGAATCGGCCAATCAGCTCTCAGCCCAAAGAGAGACTCACAGGGATCGTTCGTACACAATCAAGATCAGGTTTTCCAAGCTCACTTTCCAACACAATTTAATAATAATTAATAATTCATTTTTTTCATGGCACCTTTCAAGACACCCAAGGATGCCTACAATATGCTAAAAAACCATAACACACATAATTAGTAGTACGGAATATAAAAAATGACAAAAAATAAGCCAGTTTAAAAAGGTAGGTTTTGATACGTGACTTGAAACTGTCGCAGGTCGAGCGATAGAGTGTCCCAGAGTTTAGATTTTCACTTTTTATAATATGTCAGATAATGTAGACGTAGATAACTTTTACTGGGAATGATTTGAAAAGGATTTATCAAAAAAGAATGGGAAAGAATCTCCGTAAAACACTCCTGTCTCGTTTGACGAGACGCACAACGACCTCACATTTCACCAGAATGACTGACGGCTGGGAGGACCAATGCTCTTGATGAACCACCCTGAAATTTTTTTTCAAACTGTTCCAGTTTCGGGATTATTCTTCAAAATAGAGGGTAAAAGTCCAAAGCAAATGTAGGTGATGTATTGAGAAAGTAAATGTTTTGATGGTTTCCTTGCTCATTGTCAGAGAGAGATTTAAACATTCCCACACTGCAGAAGACACATGACGGGGAGCAGATAGATCTTGAGCCGCAGTTGCCCCGGGGCATACTGACAGACATGGGGATGCCGTTTCTCACCACTAGCCTCAAAGCATCACCGATTACTCAGGAGTAGTACAAGGAGCACAAGGAGAAGGTGGTGTCCGATGGGCTAAACGTTAAAGTTATATTAATAAGACAAAGAGTAAAGAAGTGAGAGGGTGGTGCAGTGGTTAGGTTCTGCTGCTATGTCTGCCCTTTGTTGTGTTGTTCAAAGTAGAAATAAGCAAAACTCACTATGTTTGAGGTAAAAATGTATTTAAATTATCTTTTTCGGAGGAATTATCCGGAGGAAACATACGCAGACACGGGGAGAACATGCAAATCCACACAGAAAGGTCCTGGGGGACCTTCTTACTGTGAGGCACAAGTGCTAACCACTGTGCCACCGTGCCGCCCTCACAGCGTCTGTCTGACCCCACATGTTCTCAGCCCAAGGAGCTCGGTCTTGAGCAGAACTTCAGCTCAGATCTGGATCTCATGGTTTTAACCAAAACATGGAACACGTCCTCATTTTGTTCATTTCATTCCTCATCTCACCTCGAAGCAGCTGTCAATCACACTTTACTGAAAGGAAAGGCCCGCCCCCTCCTCTGTGAGACCTACAGCTGCAAACAGGGTTCGAAGTCCAAATGAAATGAACAGAATCTAGATGTGTCCATGAACAAAGTTCAGACCATGAGACCAAACCAGAGTCTGTCCCTGTCTCCTCCAGACCAGACTCAAAGGACCTGAACATGTGGTGTCAGCAGCTCTTCTGTTGCCCTCTCTGACCTGAAGTTTCTCTGACCTGGAGTCGCTCTACCCTGGAGTCGCTCTGTCCTGAAGTCGCTCTGTCCTGGAGTCGCTCTGTCCTGGAGTCGCTCTGTCCTGGAGTCGCTCTGTCCTGGAGTCGCTCTGTCCTGAAGTCGCTCTGTCCTGGAGTCGCTCTGTCCTGAAGTCGTTCTGTCCTGGAGTCGCTCTGTCCCGAAGTCGATCTGTCCTGATGTCGCTCTGTCCCGAAGTCGCTCTGTCCTGGAGTCGCTCTGTCCTGGAGTCGCTCTGTCCTGGAGTCGCTCTGTCCTGGAGTCGCTCTGTCCTGAAGTCGCTCTGTGCTGAAGTCGCTCTGACCTGGAGTCGGTCTGTCCTGAAGTCGCTCTGTGCTGAAGTCGCTCTGACCTGGAGTCGGTCTGTCCTGGAGTCGTTCTGTCCCAAAGTCGATCTGTCCTGAAGTCGCTCTGTCCCGAAGTCGCTCTGTCCTGGAGTCGCTCTGTCCTGGAGTCGCTCTGTCCTGGAGTCGCTCTGTCCTGGAGTCGTTCTGCCCTGGAGTCGCTCTGTCCCAAAGTCGATCTGTCCTGAAGTCGCTCTGTCCCGAAGTCGCTCTGCCCTGGAGTCGCTCTGTCCTGGAGTCGCTCTGTCCTGGAGTCGCTCTGTCCCAAAGTCGATCTGTCCTGAAGTCGCTCTGACCTGGAGTCGTTCTGTCCTGAAGTCGCTCTGTCCCAGAGTCACTCTGTCCCAGAGTCGCTCTGTCCCAGAGTCGCTCTGTCCCAGAGTCGCTCTGTCCCAGAGTCGCTCTGTCCCGGAGTCACTCTGTCCTGGAGTCGCTCTGTCCTGGAGTCGCTCTGTCCTGGAGTCGCTCTGTCCCAAAGTCGATCTGTCCCGAAGTCGCTCTGCCCTGGAGTCGCTCTGTCCTGGAGTCGCTCTGTCCTGAAGTCGCTCTGTGCTGAAGTCGCTCTGACCTGGAGTCGTTCTGTCCTGGAGTCGCTCTGTCCCAGAGTCGCTCTGTCCCAGAGTCGCTCTGTCCCAGAGTCGCTCTGTCCCAGAGTCGCTCTGTCCCAGAGTCGCTCTGTCCCAGAGTCGCTCTGTCCCAGAGTCGCTCTGTCCTGAAGTCGCTCTGTCCTGAAGTCTGGATCTGAAGTCCAACAAATAGGTTCGATCACATTCCACTGTATGACATAACATACAGTAATCTCCATGGCAACCAGGCAGAAGGGATTTCTATTTGATAAAAAATATTGTTGCCATGGTGACCCCTGGAAACCACTTCCAGCAGCCATTTTGTGTGATCGATTAAGGCCTTACTAAAGAGCTTTTTTTAAAACTGTGAATATTACAGGAGATAAAAGTATATACACACATCTGAATATGGTCTTTTTATTGGTAAGCTTTGACAAAAAGTAGCATGCTATAGTTGCAGTAGTGTCATGTTCTACAAAAGGTCCTGTGTTCGAATCCCGGTCGGAACAGTGCCTTTCTGAGTGGAGTGTGCATGTTTTGTTTAGCTTGTTTTGTTTTATTTCCGTTCTTGTCTTGTGCAGACAGAGCACTTTTGCGTACGTATTCCAATGTGGCTTTACTGCAAACGACAAATGAAATGGCTCTGAATCTGAGTAAACTTTTGCACCACTACAGCCCCCTCCTCTCCGCTCTATGCTCTCAGCTCTCCCAGGATCGTGACAGTAGGTGAGCGACCGCCGGAGCTCCAGGGGGGACAGCCGCGAGTCGGTTAACCCACATCTAAGTGTCCGATCGTAGGCAAAGCTCTCCGCGTGATGGGCCTCTACCTGGACCTGACAACTCGGCCTCGGCTCGGGCCCAGGGGTGAGGGTGCGTGTGCTGGGGCTTGACAGATGCGATAAGGGGCCCTCACCTGCACCACCTTCTTCTTCTGTCTATCTCTCTATCTCCATCTCTCCCTATCCTTATCTATCTCTATCTCTCTCTCTCTCTCTCTCTCCTAAACTACTTTTTAATCATTAATTTCATGTGGAAAGAGAACGATAGAGACCACAGCTTAAAAGAACTAAGACCCATTAGTGTCAGAGAGGTGGACGATATCTCATTTAATCATAACCCTGTTTCACGTCTTGGTGAAATCAGTGCTCCCCATGGTCTCAAGTCGAAATCCCTTTGATGGTCATATAGTCCGCTGCCGTACCATATAGAACCAGGTGACGTCAAAATACATGGTGCAAAAATCTGACAGTTTTTCATGCTAATCACCACTTGACAAAAGCGTTACCGCGGCGACTCCTCTCTCAGGGTTTAAGAAAACATCTTGTCTCAGATATTTTGGGTCATCGCTCTTCTCCCCCACCTTCCCTCCCCCCTCACCCTCTACCAGTGGCGGCTGGTGATAAAAAAAATTCGGGGGGGGCGCACTGGCAACAATAAACTACTTGCTGTCACGGTGGTGTGTCGATGTGGACCCAAAGGCAGGGAGGAATGGAAGGAGGCAGACAGGTGAAAGGTTAACAGATTTAGTGATGGATAAACTATTTACAACAACAAACTATTTACAACAATAAACTATAACATTAAACTACTAGCAACAATAAACTATTTACAATAAAACTATTTATAACATTAAGCTATTTATAACATTAAGCTATTTATAACATTAAACTACTAGCAACAATAAACTATTTACAACAATAAAACTATTTACAAAATTAAAGTACTGGCAACAATTAACTATTCACAACAACAAACTACTTGAACATAAATTTTGCTCTCCTCTCTTTCAGGCTAGCAAATCTTTCAATGACTCTCTGATTGAAATTGGTCATTTGACAGATTAGTCTCTTTTCCATTGAGAGCATGGCCAGGGCATTCAGCCTTTCCTGGGTCATGGTGTTTCTCAGAAAAAGTTTTCACCCTTTTTAAGGTTGAGAAGCACCTCTCTGCTTCAGCTGTGGTCATAGGTGTGGTAATAAGGATCTTTAAAAGAGTGACCGTTTCTGAAAAAACATCTTGAAGATTGTTCTCCATGAACAGCTGGAACAGGTCTACTGCACCACAACAGGCTCTGAACTCTGCTTTGCTGTAGATGAGACTGAGCTCTGTCTTGAGCTTGCTTCCATTCAGCATTGGATAGGCCTTCAAAGTGCTTTGCAGCACCTCTTCGGGAAATGACCCGTGATGTTCCTCAAACCTGTCCCCCTGCAACAAGGTGGCACAGACAAGATGGTCGGTGAAGTTGAAGCGCTCCCTGGTGTGTCTCAGAATGGTGTTGCAGATCTACAGAGAGAATACAAAAACAGAGAGAAAAAGTAGATATTAAATTATTTTACTTTTGTTGACATTGTTACCCTCTGTTGCTGCATGGTTTTGAAAAAACATCTTGCTATTATTGACAACTGCAATTGTGATATGATTTTTAATATTTTCATTAAACATTTAGGTTAATTGTGATTAGGAGATGAACTAAATCATCTCTGTAACATGACATATTTAAAATGGTATTTAAATAGCTATTTCATAAACTATGACAGATTTCTACAACATAAACTCACCTCTTCTGCAGCACTCTGACGATCCTCGGAACTGAGTACCCGACGCCGTTTTGCTGTCAGAGAGCCACTGCTTTGCTCACTCATGGAATGGAGAGAATTTCTGTGAAGAAGAAGTCATAATAATGATCAAAAAGTTGAAAAGAGATAGCAATTAAAAATGTGATGATTATATTATTGACATATTACCTGATGTTTTGTATGTCCTGTTCGAACTGCTGGATGCGCTCCTTTTGATGTGGACTGCATCTATATTCTTCTTCTGGAGCTTGGCATAGAGGAGGTCCACAAGTGGCATGATGTGGTGAAAAAGTTCCAGGAAGAAGTTCCACTTGTGGCTCCTGCCTCTCTGATGGTGTTGGAGTCAAAGTCACCCGAATCTCGTATGTTCTCAAAACATTGAATGAGATCATCTCTCTGCTCAAACACAGTGTTGATGGCTCGGCTGTGAAAGTTCCATCGGACATTGCTGGATGTTGGTAGTCTACGGGCCACCGTTTTATCAAGGACAGCCGTACGCTTGGGTGACCTGGAAAAAAAGCTCGCAAATCCACCCAGGTCAGAAAAAAAAAATTCTCACCTTGGAAATATGAGAGATGGCCTGTTGCATGATCAGGTTGAGTTGGTGTGCATAGCAGTGGATATAATGGGCATTTGGGTACACATCTTTGATCTTCCTCTGAACACCTGCATTGGCACACCTCATCACACTGGCTCCATCATACGCCTGGCAGATTAGCTTGCTTTTCTGATCCTCAGGAATGATGGCAGCAAGACGCTCTGATAATGCAGCAGCAATGGACTCAGATGTAGCTGACTGCAGAGGAATGAACTCAAAAAATCTTTCCTGCACACTGTGCTTGTCATCAATGTAGCGTAGTACAAGCACAAGTTGGGACTGTGTTGAAATATCTGTTGTCTCATCTGCCTGGATTGATACAAAAACACTCTTTTGAGCTTTTTCAATGATTTGCTCTCTTGCAACAGACAACATACAGTCCAGTTACAGTACAGTTTTGGAAGTACCCTTGAAAACAGTGGCAGTCTCAAGGTGCTCTTTCAAAGCTCCATCCAGAGAGGCAACAAAACCGTGCAATCCACGAAATATCCCAGGGTTCACAGAGCTCTCACTCTCATTGTGGCCACGTAAAGCCAACTCAAAGGCCCCACAGAATTTCACACAGTCGATTATCCTGGACAGAACATGACGATTTTTTGTCACCTCTTCGTTGTGCCTTCTAATGCCAACTCTGTAGCCCTCGTCTAATTGTTCAGCAATGCTAACGCGGCCAAAAAACTGTAGCTTCATACTGTTGTCAATGTGGCAACGGCTACTTTCATGCCGTTTGCATTTTTCAGAGAGATGTTTCAGGTCTCTGACCCCTGTTGTTGTCCACAACACTTCCGTGCCAACACTTTGAAAAAGCAAGCAGGGAAAGCAAAAAAGAGCATTGCTTACTTCGCATCCAGCGAGCCAACTGTGTTTAGCATAACACAGACCGGAGAAGCCTCGGGTGTAACTTCGCCCACGGCCACTTGCCTGCTGCTGGATCTGTAAGCCGGGTTTCTCCGGTCCAAGCTCCTTAATCCTTTTTTTTTCCTCCAGCGAACGTCTCGTGAAAGGATTGAGTTGTAAAGAAACAACCGAATTTTCTTTGGCCATGTCTGCTGTTTTGTTGTACGTCTGTCTCGCTTCTTCGCCTCCGTAAACTCGCGCGCGGGAGTGTCTATGTTGGAGTGACAAGCGCGTTGCCAGTGACTTTGATTGACAGCCAGGTATCATGAATCAATCAGATTGCAAGAAAAATTAGCCAAGCGCGCTGATTCGCCAGGGACGCAGCTCTCTGCGCCCCGAGGAGAATCTTTAAGTGACCAATTAGAGACCAGCATGAAGTCACATGGTAGCTGCAAGTTTGGAAGATACATACACACTCATTTGGCCGGCGCCCCTTGATATTAAAAACTAATAAAACAACCCAAAATGAATCCGATATGGAATGGAAAGGCTTACAAAAATAAAAGTAAGAACCATTGTATGAGTGAACACTGAACAGATGTGGTAATGACTTTTTATTACATAATTTATGTTTACTGTGTGTATTAATTCTTTATGAAATTTTGATGAGGGCGGTGCCCTAGCGCCCCCTATTGACAAGCCGCCACTGCCCTCTACACCCCTCCCCCCTACACCCCTCCCCCCCTCCCGCCTTCAACCGAACCCACTCTGACAGACTGACATCACACAAAACAACTGATGTCATAGAGAACTTCAGAGTCAATGGAGAGGCCAGAACCAAATTCAAATGTAGTACCACCAAAAAGGTTGAGAGGGCACCACACAGCGTTTTTTTGGCTCAAAAGTGATATTTTATCTAATTTGAACTAAAATGTCAAAAAAATTACCAGGATATGTAGACAGCACTACAATAAACATACTTATGCAGTTTATGAGTTAAAAAAAGTTGATTTGGTGTTTAGTCGCTCTTTAAGTAATACAGTACATGATTGTCCAGGGTTTGTCATCTTTTGCATAAGACCAGAAAGAGAGAGACCAGAGAGAGACCAGAGAGGCAGAGACCCAAAAGAGACCAGAGAGAGAGACCAGAGAGAGACCAGAAAGAGACCAGAGAGGGACCAGAGAGAGGGACCGGAGAGAGACCAGAGAGAGACCGGAGAGAGACCGGAGAGAGACCAGAGAGAGACCAGAGAGAGACCAGAGAGGGACCAGAAAGAGGGACCAAAGAGGAACCAGAGAGAGACAAGAGAGGCAGATATCCAAGAGACCAGAGAGAGAGACCCAAGAGAGACTGGAGGGACACCAGAGAGATAGCGACCAAAGAGGGAACAGAGAGAGACCAGAGAGAGAAAGAAAGAGACTAAAGAGAGACCAGTGAGAGATACTAGAAAAAAATTACCTGAGAAAAATCAGAGAGAGAGAGAGAAAGACGGAAAGAGACCAGAGAGCGAAACCAGACAGAGAAAGACTAAAAAGAGACCAACGAGATCATCACCCTCACTCAGCCAATCAGCTTTCAGCACAAAAAAACAAGTCGTGACTCTCTCTCACAACTCGGCAAAAGAAGATGGGACCACTGCTTCATTATCAAATATTTGTATTTATTTGCAGATAAATATATAAAACAAAACACAGATTGCAACAAGCGCTTAAACAATTTGTAAATAACGTGTAAATTTACAGCTTTTAATAAAAACATTGAATGAACTTCAAACAGAGAAAAACAACATTTTAACGTAATTATGTATTTTCAAAATTTTACAGTGTGCAGTGTCTGGCTTTGTACCTTAAATTGGCTGTCTTCATTACCATTTCCACCATTCAGATACAGCCACTTCAATCTGAAGAGACCAAAGACACAATTAATACATTAAAATTTATTTCTTTGGCGCATTGACCCCAGCAGTGACACTTGCAGCGATGAGATCGATTGCAGCTGAAGATGATCTCAGATCCCCCGGGGTGAAGTACTGGTGGTGGCTAGAGTATGGTGTGAATGGGGCGTAGGCGGAGCAGGAGCCGGAGCGGGAGCCTAGAGCGGGAGCCAGAGCGGGAGCCAGAGCGGGAGCCAGAGTGGGAGCCACAGCTGGAGCCAGAGCAGGAGCCACAACGGGAGCCAGAGCGGGAGCCTAGAGCCAGAGGGGGTGCTGGAGAGGTGGTGGGTGTTTAAGAGCCTCAGGAAGCGTTGCTTGTCAGGAAGTGGTTTTAAACTACCCGCTTTGCTGTGAGAGGGTTGGCAGGAGGCTGGCCTGGCTGTGTGATTGGCTGAGGCTCGAGGCTGGCAAAGCTGTTTGATTGGCTGAGGCTCGAGGCTGGCAGGCACTCGGCCTTTCAGTCTGAACCTGCGCATTCAGCTTCATTACTCACACACACGCGCACACACACACACACACACACTCCCTGACAACACTAAAGCCCTAACACTTTCCAACCCTACACCTCCCTCCCACTATTTTTCTGTACTGCAGGCATCACTCTCTTTCTTCCACAGTCCACATTCCACATCACTCTCTTTCGTCATATCTAGTTCATGTACAGGCTTCGATTCTAACCAGGTCCTATGTTTTGGAGAAAAATTATGCTCTCTCTCAAAAGGTTATCCTTGTCAGCTTTTGACTTTTTGGATTAGTCTTTATTGTCTTGGGTCAAACTTTCACAGACATGCCCTTTATTTCTTTTAAATTGTCCAACCAAATTCCTTTATTCGTTCATGTTAAATGCTGCTGGATTACACCAAGGATATCACGGGAAGACGCACACAAGACAGACATTATTTTTGGAATTGCTAATATAAAAATCAGAGGTGAATTCCATAGTTCCTCTCCTCCCAGGTCTGGTCCATCCCCTTATGCTCAATAGTGTCCTCAGATCACCTCACATGTACAATAACAAGACGGGGCTCACGGCTGCTGTTTCACTGGCTTAAGAGCTTGTACGCTTCAACACAAGCGCCCCTTCACTATCACTTTTACAGCTGGACATCGCAGACCCCAAACGCCTGTGAAATATGAGGAGGTCTGGGCCTGTTTGGATTAAGCCGAAGCTCTCCACTTAACCAACCATAACAGCGCACGCACCAGTGGGAAGATGCATTCATCACAAGACCCTGACAGGAATGAGAAAACAAGGCGAAGGGCTATTTATCCACGTCAGAGAGCTTTGCCATGGGAGATAATAAAGGCTGCAGGGGGGGCCGCTTTATTGTTTTCATCAAATTCAGATTGTCAAATAAGTCAGGGTGAGTTGAGGCAAGACGAATGATCACGGGCGAGGAGTGTACTGTGTCTGGGATGTTGATTCTTGAGACTCAACATGGATCAAAAGCAGGAAAAGAGCACACGATGATGACTATACTTATGGTCCAAGCAAAAAGAGATTTTGAACTGTAACAATATATTTCACGGGTTTTGTAGAGAAAAGCATATTAAAAGTCCTAATAAAACCTGCTCGGGGCAAATTTAGGGTTACTTTAAACCTATTTGCCACTTTAACAATTAAAGACGGCTTTATTCTTCCCTTTAGTTCAATCACAAAGACAGCAGGATGGTTCTGGGTTCGATTCCACCTCCAGACAGGGCTTATCTTTGTGTAGTTTGCAAGTTTCCTCGAGGTGCTCCGGTTTTCCTTATCACAAATATCATGAATTGGTCTGAATGTGTAAAGCGCTTTAAGTGACCTTAGTCTATGAAATGTGTAATATAAATAAAGATCACTACAAAAGCCTACTCAAATGTAGCTGTTTATCAAACATCTTTAATTGACAAAAATTCTTGCTCTGGAGTCCTCATACAAATTATTAAGTGAATTATATCAGGTAATTGGCTAATTTGGACGAGTACTTTAAGGCTATATCCACACGAAAACAAAACGCTTATAATTTCAGAAACTTTTTCTGTAAACTCGGAGTTAGCTCAGTAAATGTGTGCGTCCATATGAATGTAGTCAATACGCCTGAAAACGCTGTGAAATATGCCAGACCTGTTGGTGGCGCTGTGACGCAATGACGGGATCAAGCCCAAACTTCCGTGGGCATGCGCGGAATTTTGTAAACAGACAACATGGCGAGTGGGCGAGCTGGTACTACATTAGTATGGACGGACGATGAGGTTGAACTGTTGCTTCGGGTCACACTGGATTAAAAAACCAACAAGCTACATTGTTGTTGTCATTATTTTCTGAGTGCGGCGCAT